TGTTCTCTCTGGCTCTCTCTGTCAAATAAATAAAATCTTAAAAAAAAAAAAAAAGGAACAGATGGTTAACTCTTTTATTACCTGTTCTTTATTTTTTTAAGATTTTATTTATTTATTTGAGAGAGAGAGAGCAAGAATGAGCATGAGCAGGGGGCAGTGGGAGAGGGAGAAGCAGGCTCTCCACTGAGCAGGGAGCTCAACGGGGGGCTCGATCCCAGGACCCTGGGATCATGACCTGAGCCGAAGGCAGATGTTTAACCAATTGAGCCACCCAAGGACCCCTTTTATTACCTGTTCTATTTATTAACCCAAAATGACAGGCTGTGGTGGCATCTAATCATCTCCATTACTTTGTCTGGGCCAGGATCAATAGACAGGCTCTCTATAGTTTGTCATAAAAACATTAAAACAACATCAAGCATAACTTCTAGATGGAGACTTCTCAGAAGAAGCTGCCAACCATTACAACTACCTGCTGCACTATGTATGATGGATGTGTAGGAAGAGGGGTGCACAGATCTGACAGGGGCTTACTAAGGGACAACAGACCATAGTAAAAATTTCTTGCTTCTCATAAGAAAAGAAAGTGTCATGAATGGTGTTAGGGGGACTTCAGGCTATAAAAGTAAATCTAACTAAGGCTGTCACCTTGCTCAGGCAAGCAACAGATGAACTGAAAGGACCTTATAAGATGTGGTCAGGACCTTGGACTTTCCTGTAAGAGCAACAGGAAGCCACTGAAGAATTTTTAGCACCAAAGTGATATAATCAGATTTGTGTTTTAGAAATATCATAGAGAAGCAGTATAGAAAATGGGCTAGAAGGGGAGAGAGGAAGACTGTCTTCTAGTTACCTGAGGCCCAGTCAAGTGGCATGAAAGAATGGAGAAAAGTTCCTAGATATGAGAGACACTTAAGAAGTAGAGTGTATGACATTTACTGTCTGACTGAACATAGCAAAAAAGGAATAGGGAGGAAACAGGATGGTGCTCAGGTTTCTGATTAGTGAACGAGGTGCACAGTACCATCGTGTACTAAAGGAGGGAACAGAGAACTAAGGACTTACTTGGATAGAAAGATGAGTTCAATTTAGGGCACGATGAGTACAAGATACTTGGAGCATCCACTCGAAAATGTCCAATAAGCAATAGGCTATATGAGTATGAAGGCTTAGGAGACAGATCTGAGCTAAAGACATAGATGTGGGAACCATCAACACACAGAAGGTAATTAAAGCCATGGAAATGGATGACATAATCGAGGAAGGATGAGAAAAAAGGACTGGGCCATGGACAAATGGGATGTAAGAACTACGGAGGGTTGAGGCGCCTGGGTGGCTCAGTCGTTAAGCGTCTGACTTCGGCTCCGGTCATGGTCCCAGGGTCCTGGGATTGAGCCCCACATCGGGCTCCCCACTCCGCGGGAAGCCTGCTTCTCCCTCTCCCTCTGCCCCTGCTTGTGTTCCCTATCTTGCTGTCTCTCTCTCTCTCTGTGTGTCAAATAAATAATAAATTTTTAAAAAATTAAAAAAAAAAAAGATCTACAGAGGGTTTAATTGACCTGTGGACATTTAATTGAAGAAACAAGGTGGGGAGGAGGGCTAAGCATGACAGTAGTTATGTTAGGGAGCAGTCTTGCACTAGTTCTCCTGGGAAAAATTAGCAGACGTGTGGTAGAACAGGAGGGGCGCCCACCCACTCTGTTCTTGGCTCTAGTTTCCAGGTTCAGTCTGCCACCTTTACAAAGACTATAGTCATCCAAAATAAATAAAAATCAGTAAAAACGAACTGGCAAAATCATTGTTGTTCTAGTTTTCTTTTACTTAGTAGATTCAAAACTGATACCACCTGTGCAGTCAAGCAACGTATGCTACACTTAAATACAAGAGTCATTCTTGTACCACTAATGCAATCCAAAAGCTGTATCAAGACAGCACAGACACAGAGTAATATCAGATGTAGTTTTAAGTGCTATAAAATAAAATGATTCTACATTTTGGTTCCAGGCTTTAAAAGTACCATAGTATATGTGGCTTTGTGTAAGATTCTAAACTGTAGTCAAGTTCTTAAACTAGTTTTTTTCTACTCAAGTGCTGACAGGAAAAACTATAGTTTCAGTCTGACCTCACAGGCACATACTATTTACCCTACTTCTAACGTGATCTGAACCTTAAGGGTACTCTTACAAAACAACAAAAATGTGCAGAACTGAGGTCAACTAATAACTAGTTCCTAAAATCTACTGAATTTTTTGCTGGACAATATCAAAATCCCTATAATTTATAATGAGTGATAATAAAACTTGGGATTTTTCCAGTTCCAACTAGGATTTCCCCAAAGATGAAAAATACGTTATTTTAAGAAATTCTATCTCATTCATCTGTATATCTCTTTAAGTGCTTCATTTAACAACTATTCTATTGCTAGATATAATAAATATCCACAGACCACATTTTAGTAAAAAGTTATCCAATTCAATACTGAAGTTGTCAGCCACGTTTAATTGTCTTCCGAATACAAAACCTTATTTCCCAAGCCCCAGAACAGGTTCTATCTCTTAGTCAATATTTAACCTTCCTTCGAATAAAAGTTAACAGGATAGCTCTATTTATCACTGACGTAAAACACCTCTGTATGCCAAAAACTCATCTGCTTCTGAAAGTTTTCCCATTTTTCTCTATCATCCATTCACAATGTATGTGTCCAATAGGACAGTTTCTTTCTGTCATGTTGGTTTACCTTTGCTGACATATTTTCCTTACATCTCCTACGATGTGTCCTGATCTCCTAGGAAGTAGGGACTTACCAGGCTTCTTTTTGTAGGACTGCACACATAAGCCACATATTAGTGTCTAGCTGATTCTATGGTCTTCCAAATACATGGAATCAAAAAGGAATTAGGTTACTTAAAATCTTGTTTTATATTAAACACGTAGCAGGTGGCCTATTTACCACCACCTTCCTCACCTCACCCTCCCTACACCCAACCAATGAAAAATCAGATTAGATTCCGAAGGAAAATTTGATTAGCATAAGACTAATTTAAAAAAGGGAAGAAGTCTGAAGAATCAGAAGCAGAAAGAAGATAAGAAAAAATGATCAAAGAAAAATGACTAAAAGGAAAATCTGAGCCAAAGATAATAAAAGGGAATAAAATAAATAATAACGAGGCAATAATATCAGATGATGACCAAGAAAAAGAAGCCTGTAAGAAATAAATTCAATCTCCTGCTTCAGTCGATCGCTAAACCACAGCTCACAGGACAACTAACAACTTTTAAATCCCAGGCCAGGGATGTGTGGTTATCCCACCCTGGTACTTGTTATGCCAAGTATTACTGCTGACTTGGGGTACTCCGGAGTCAATGTAGAGGACCACCATCATTTCTGTTCCCTGCCAAGAAACACAGCAGCGACTGGGGGCCGGAGGGGGGGCCCGTGGCAAAGACAGCACAACAGCAGGCCAAGGACTGCACAAAACAAGTCTGGTATTGAGGTTAAAATTAAATGAAAGGAAGAGAAATAAAGACAAGGGAGAATGAGAAGAGCAAACACAGCATCAGACTGAGTTCTTTCTATATGCAGGGAAAAGCAAACATCTGGAATTATTTGGTGTTGAGTGCCACCAAGTTTGACTTTGTTCCTGTCTTGCAACTGTTTCTTAGTAACACCACACAAAGAAAAAAACAGACCTAGATGCTAAAATGGGGAAAAGAGTCCTTAAAGTGGGTATAACAATAACCATTTAAAAAACAAAATACATTTTTAAAGTAACAGAGCAGTTAACTGCACAAAGACTATACCTAACTGACTTGGAGATACGTTCATCCTAAATTCTTAAGTCAAATGAGGAAGTTGCAGACAAATACATATGATACATAACATTTTTTGTAAAAATACGTCTGTATAAGCACAGGAAAAGTCTTTAAATGTTCCAAAATAAGTGCTGGTATTATGAGTGATTTTTCCTTTAAAAAAATTTTTTTTCTGCGTTGTCAACATAATTAAAATAAAAATAACAACAATCCCTTAAAATAAAAGGAAAAATATCCCCTTCCAGGTCATTCAGTCTTTACCTTAAGTGTGTACGGAATTTACAAAGAACCCCTTTCACACTGAACACAGCTTTGAGAGGCCTATTCCCGCCCGTGGGGAGATGGGGCCAATGGCCAAGCCCAGCTGCATTATGGTGGAAAAAACAAGAGCTGTGAAGACCAACGGAAAGGTTTGAATCCAGAATCTCTATTTACTAGCTCGGTGACCCATGGCAAATCAGATGAAATTTCTGAGTGTTGCCTTCACTTGGCTTCGGCAATGAAATAATACCTACCTCACAGGGCTGTTTTGAAGATTCTTGAGGACAGTTCCTACATATGACATGGACGGGTGGGATGGGTATCAGGGAGAATTATGACCCTTCTAACCACTATTATACTTATTATCTCATGAAACAATCTGTTCTGAATAATGCCAGATTGTTTGCAGCTTTCACTGACCTCCCCTTGGCCTATGATCCCTCAGACTAATCAATGCTCAGCAAAGCAGCCTGGTTATTGATGCTTCCTTTTAAAGCATCTGTACTTACCACCTCCAGGAGAATAAAACAGGAAAGAACGTGTCAGAGAACAAATGGGTGCTTATCCAAGTTCTTTGTCCTACAAATATATAAACAAACCCAGTAAGGGTAGAAAACATCTCTTCTAATAGCACATACTGCAGAAGAGTGACCAAATGAATTGCATGATAATTGCAGATATTGTTATAGGCTCTGCTTGACACATTATGCTTCACCAGAATTTGCACTGCAACTGTTGTTCATTTCTTAGTGTTGTTTTAAAACCTTTTAAGGATGCCCACCAAAAATTTTAGTATTCATAAGTATGCCCTGAACCTGGAAAAGTTCAGAACCACTGAGACGGAAAATAAAGGAGAGAGGAGAGAGGTGTGAAGCAACAGTCTAGAAAAGTGCTGCCTGGCAAGACAATGCAATGATGGTAATGTTCTATCCAGATCTATGGCATCCACTATGATAGCTACTAGCCACATGTGGCTATTGAACACATGAAATGGGGCAGGTGCAACTGAAGAAATGAATTTATTTTATTTAATTTAATTCTAATTTAAATTTATATGATCAAATGTGGCTATTGACTATGGTACTGGATGGCACAGATCTAGAACCCTGGGTTAATAACTTGTGCTAATTCAAAAAGGGTGGTATGTGGATGAGTCAGCTAAAAGCAAAGACAAAAAGAGAATCAACAAAACACCAAAAAACCAACAAAAGCAGAAACCCAGTGCCATGTTAATATTCTCTTGCTCCACAAAGAGTTCACCCTGATAAAGCTGAAGTCCTCGTCTGATCCCAAGCTGCCTTAGTCTGCTCAGGCTGCCATAACAAAAAACCATACAGTGTGGGTAACTCAACACAAATTTATTTTCTTAGTTTTAGAAGCTGGAAAGCCCATGAACAAGGTTCTGGATGACTTGGTTCCTGGTGAGGTTCCTCCTCCTGGCTTGTGGATGGCCACCATCTTTCTGTATGCTCACATGACCTCTTATTTGTGCGCATGCAGAGAAAGAGATCTCTCCTCCCCTTCTTTTAAGGTACCAATTCTTGCACCAAACCAGATTATGACCCCACCCTTACGACCTCATTTAACCTTAATTACCTCTTTAAAGGCCCTATCTCCAAACACAGTCACTTTGGGAGTTAGGGCTTCAACATATGGGGGGGGGATGGGCAGGCGAAATTCAGTCCATAGCACAATCCTCCACTCACTAACCAGCTTTCTTATCATGAGTTCCAAAAATCCATGGAATATATTTCTCACCCTTAATTCATAATCTTCTAGAAGCTTAGTCTTCTGCCTACTCTCGCCACACCACCAGTTTACACCCATGTAAGGCTTTAACTCTGTCTTCAGACACTTTAGCAACTTACCAAGATTAAAACTTAACTTTGAGCCTCAAAAATGGCTTAACTCCTAAAATGATTGTGCAAAAAAGAGTTAACATAGCAGGCCTGAAACTGCTCTCCTCAGAAAGGACTGTTTGTAACACTGGCACTTGGCTAGACTCTGGGAACTTGGATACTAGAAGAGTTCCCACCTCCCTAACTACTAAGAGGGACTCATAGTACCTAACCTGTACAGACAATGTGATTTATGCTGAACACGCTGAACACCTGCTTTCCTTCTGAGGGTCTGGAATTTGGTACCTGCTAGGATGGTAGGAAGACTATGTGACCAGCCCCCAATAAAAACTTTGGGCATTGACTCTCTCTCTAATGAGCTTCTCTGATGGATGACATACTACACGTTATCACAGTTCTGCTGGAGGAAATGTGTCCTGTGTGACCCTACAGGGAAAAGACTCTTAGAAGCTTGTGCCTGGTTTTCTCCTGACTTCATCCTATGCACCTTTTCCCATTGCTGATTTTACTTGGTATCCTTTCCCTGTAATAAACCATAATTTGAGGACAACTACATGCTGAATTACGTGAAGTCTTCCTAGTGAATCATCAAAGTTGTAGTATAGAAGACATCTGACACTTCAATCCACTTAATTCGTATCACCAAACATCTACCCTAGTAAAAGAACCCCATATTCCTATATTTTAATCTTCCCAAGTTCCACTCCAACCCATAATTCTCCAGCCCTGGCCTTATCCAGTCAATTTTCTACAATTATCACAATCACTCAGGTTAAGATAACCATCTGCTCTTACTATGTATCAGTACTTCTGTAACTGGGGTGAATATGCTCCAAGAGACAGCAGCAGATTTTTTTTTTTTAATATAAAAATGTTCATTTCCTAAATCTTTTAGTAAAAATAGCATTCCCAGGCACTTCTCCATGTTGAGCCTCATTTTACTTGATCTTTCTGCAAGGGTAGAAGCTGCAGAGCACTCCTTCTATCTGCTATAAGCTGCTTCTTCCTCCAAATAGCCTTAAATGTCAGTGTTCCACGGGTCTCCACATTCTGCCTCTTTCACCTCACTTCCCAAAGACCATTCCATTTACTTCCCTAACTTGAGCTTCTACCTACAGTCCATACATCTTTGCCTTCAGCTCTGTCACCTGTCCTAAGCCCCAGAATCTCACCTCCAAACACCTACAGGATACATGTATCTATGGATCCTACTGATCACTCAGACTAATAGTCTTCTTGATACTTTTGTTCAAAAAGATCATCGAGGTCTGTTTGCTTCACAATTCCATTGGTATGTCTACAGCTACTATATCATAGCAATCTGAATTTATAGAAGTTATAGAAGACTATTTGAATTCTTTCCTTAACATGTCTTTTTGGTATTCCAGCCTACACTGTTCCTATTTAGTAGTTCACTATCACAGGAGAGCCTGGTGAAAAGCTATGCACACACCAGCCATTTAATAAATGTTCATTCAACAAATTAATATTGTCATCCATCTATCAGACCTACAGCAAATAGAATGGAACACAATGCTGGTAACCCAGTTGCATGTAGAAATGTCACTACTGGTAATCTCAATTTATTAGTTCTATATGAATCAAAATTTTCAAAGAACGGTTTGGAATAACCAGCTAGCCATTTAAGGGATAAAATGTGTATGAAGGTTTAAACTTTAAAAATTAAATCATTTAAGAAAAAAAAAAAAAAGAGGGGGTATTTGCTGTAGGAATGTCCAGATAAGGATGGTAGACTGAACATACATACGTTTCATTCCTCCCTGAAACTGTACAAAGATGAAAATAAAGGAAATTACTTTTCATTTTTTTTTATTCTTATGTTAATCCCCATACATTACATCATTAGTTTTAGATGTAGTGTTCCATGATTCATTGTTTGTGCATAACACCCAGTGCTCCATGCAGAACGTGCCCTCCTCAATACCCACCACCAGGCCAACCCATCCTCCCACCCCTCTCCCCTCTAGAACCCCCAGCCTGTTTTTCAGAGTCCATCGTCTCTCATGGTTCATCCACCCCTCCGATTTCCCCCGCTTCATTCTTCCCCTCCCGCTACCTTCTTCTTCTTCTTTTTTTTTTCTTAACATATATTGCATTATTTGTTTCAGAGGTACAGATCTGAGATTCAACAGTCTTGCTACTTTTCATTTTTTTTTAAGGCATAAACTTACAAGGATGAAGAGGAAAGAAAAGGAGAAAACAGCAATAGAATTTAACAAGCTAGAAAGTGATAGACCAATGGTGACTAACTTAATAGACCGGAGAAACCAGAATCTGAGAAGAACAACAGAGCTAAACCCAGCCCATTTTACATCCCATTTTATACCACTGGACTCCTAACAGGATCAGGAAATGAAGAAATCTGGGACATCCAGAAATGGAGATGTGAAGGGAGACCTAAAATAAAGTCAACTGGTTTAAAGGCTATCTAAGATACAGTTAGAGCTCCACAGCTTCATTCCAACTCTGGCAGCCTAGGCCCCAACCTGACCAAAAAGAGGTAGTTTATTCTCTGGAGATGATAAAAGAGGTCTCTGGACTACAAGTCAACAGACACAGCTGAGAGCAGAGCCATAGTACCGCAAACAGGGGATGGAGACCAGCAACCAGAAAGTGATATAACAGCAGAGCGCAAAATCGGAACTTTTAGAAGTCTACTCCAATGGAGGACATCCCTGCCTAAAAGGCCCTCAGGTGGTGAAGTGGGGCAGAATCCTAGGTGGGACAATGCAGTCTCAGGATCCCCACATTCACAGAAAGAACAGGGGTGCCTGAGTGCAGCAGAGTTCCCAGATATCGAAGCAGGAAAAGCGGCTGTAATCAGTGAGCCCAGGAGTGGGCTTTCAGCCTGGTGTTGCCATAAACCACAAACCCTGGCACTATCCGAGCAGGGGCCCACCAAGCGGCAGAACCATGGTGAAACCCCCCTCTTCCCCCGGGACAAGCGGCTTGCCACAGTAGTCTGCAGGGTTAGGAGACCCAAGACAGGGTCACATGCCTGAGATAAAAATGCTCAATCACAGGCTGTGTGAGCAAGGAGTGTGGATGGAGACCAGTGAAACAGGAGTGATTGCTTTTCCTGAGGGCTCACTGAAGAGTGGGGGGCGCAAGCTCTCAACTCTAGGACTAGAGATTGGGAGGCCGCCATTTTCATTCTCATCCTCAAAAACGATGCAGAAAGCCTTCAAGGGAACAAAAGCCACATACAGTAATCCACAGCCACTTACTTAGGTGCCCCCCCTCCCACCCCACACAGAGGTGGTGCAGTTCTGCATGGGGCAAAGACACCTGAGAAATCAGCGCAACCATCCCCTGCCCCCAGGAGATAAGCAAAAACATCTGGATAAGAGCAAGTTTACTGATCACACAGAACTGCAAAACACCAATGCAAGAGAGAAATACTATATAGAATTCATGATTTTTTTCTCACAATTCTGTAGTCTTTCAATTTTAATTATTTTCTCTTTCCTTTTCAACCAACCTACTGAGCAGGGAGCCTGATGTGGGACTCAATCCCAGGACCCTGGAATCACAACCTGAGCCGAAGGCAGACACTTAACCATCTGAGCCACCCAGGTGTCCCTTATTCTTTTTTTTTTTAAGTCTTTTTAAATTTTCATCTTTATAGTTATATTCTTTTTTTTTAAAGATTATTTATTTATTTGAGAGACGGACAGAGAGAGAGAGATGGAGAGAGCA